GCCAAAAGTGGTGGTGAATTTGTTCATAATTCTTTCCTGTTGGAAAATTAAATTAAATACTGCTTTAGGCCAAATGAATATTTGAATTTTTCTTAGTATCCTGGTATCCAGGTCAGAAGACTTAAACTTGTGTAATGTTCAATGGTGTATGACTATCTTTACCACTTATCTAATACAGTTCAAATCATTAGTATGTACTGAGCCCCAACTACAAAGTAATCTATGGACACTGTAGGAGTCAACAGATAAGACTGTTTCTGTCTTCAAGAAAATTTCTAACATATATCTCAAATTAGGACAGGACATACTTACCTAAGGCCTATCAAATTCCTACACCCACATCTGCAAGTGAGAAGAGGCATGTAGGTAGCAGGGTAGTAGTGACCCACTGTGATGTTAAATGTGCATTCTTCTGATTGCCAAAAACACTGGGCATCTTTCCATGTGCTCACTAGCCATCTGTATGTCTTGGACGTTTTATCTGTTGAGTTTTCCCCCATGGTTATACTGGGTATTTTATCTTATTGTGTAGAATGAGTTTTTTGTATATTCTGAACAGAGTCTTTTATAGATACGTATTTTACAGTATTTTCTCTCAGAATTTACCTTACCTATTCATTTATAAAACTTTTGGGGGGGGAGTGGTCCCTTTTTTTGCAATACTGGGGACTGAACCCGGGGCCTTGTACACACTAGGAAAGGGCTCTATCAATGAACTCTTTCCTTAACCTAAAATAGTATCTTTTGAAATGCAGAAATTTTAAAATAGTGAAGAAGCCCAATTTGTCAGTTGGGTCTTTGAAGGTTCCCAAGCCTGAAATGTTCCCTTTTTTCACTCTTCCGTCTAGTTATTTCCTACTCATCCGTTGAATCTTAGAACACTGATTATCTGATCCTCCTTACCTCTGTCCTCAGGCTAGTTCTTTCTTTCTTCTCTTTTCTTTCTTTTCTTTTCTTTTCTTTTCTTTTCTTTTCTTTTCTATTCATTCATTCATTCATTCATTCATTCAGAGCTAGCCTCGAACATTCTAAGCAGGAGTTCTACCACTGAGCTGTACTCTGAGCCCAAGTCTCTCTTATGTTCGTCCATCCCCCTGAACATTTCCTTCAGAGAATTTATCAATTTGGGAGATTATACTTTTGAGAGAATGTGACTTACTGTGAACATAAACAAAATAACCATGTAACTTAAATTTTATATATATCTACTCAATAGTTTTCATTAGATACTCAAAAGGGAGCCAGGTGTGGTGGTTCATGCCTGTAATACTATCACTCTGGCGGGCAGCTGAGGCAGAAAGGCAGCAAATTTAAGCCCAGCCTGGGCAACTCAGATCCTATCTCAAAATAAAAAGAGAGCTGGGGATGTAGCTCAGTATAAAGGCCCTCGGTTCAATTCCTAGTACCAACTCCCCAGCCCCCAATGATGATTCTCAATAAGCTGTAACCTTATCCAAAGAGAAATCCAGCCACTTGCCTGTGGAGGTTTCTAGGGTCTTGGAACTCGCCTGACTGGTGGGAATGTCTCTGTCCATGACTTTAGCTACTGGACAAACATGATCCAGGTGGATGGCTTTTGTTTTGTTTTTTGTTTTTTTTGGTACCAGGGATCAAACTTGGGCCCTTGTGCAGGTGGATAGCTTCTGAGCCACATTTTACCAGTTTCAACACCAGGAGGTATTAATGTGACTCATAGGAGTGGCTACAGACTAAAGGTTATCCATGTAGGCAGTAAGGGATTGAGCCCAGTAACAACTCTGGACACCACAGGGTTGGGCAAGTTCTGTGGTTGGCAATACTTGTGTGTGCACTGTCACACACCGTGGCTGAGAACCATCCATGACTCCAGTGGGATGAGAAGGACAAGTTCTATATTTTGACTCCTCCCAGATTCTCCCTATGATCTCTCCTTTGGCTAACTTCAATCTTTATCCTGTCCCTGTAATACACTGTATCACTGCTTTCAGCTAGTTCTCCAAGTCTTTTCCGGCAAATTATCAAAACTGAAAGTTGTTGTGGGAGCCCCTAAACTTGCCAAAAGTGTCTAAAGTGAGGGCAAGTTTGACAGTCTATTCTCTCACATTTTGCAGATTGGCTAAATCACTACAATCTCCCAAAAGGTTAAAATCCAATAGGTTAAACCAGTGGTGGCAAACCAATGGCTCGTGTGCCTCAGCAGGCTTTGACATCATTGAAAGCTCTAAAATGTTTGTCATCCCTAGGTTATACCATGAGTTCCTCTAGGGCAGAACCTTACAGCAATTTCCTATGTAGTAAAAAATATAAGATATTTCACTCTGAAATAAATGGACACTAATTCTCTAACAGCAACAGCAAGGTTTACAGTGATGATGAAAGCAGCAACTACTACCACATACCCTCACTGCAGTCTTTACAGATGAGAAAAATGATTTGTGTGAAACAGTTTAAGATCATTCTTATAGTGACAGAGTGAATATTTAAAATCTGATTTAACTAATTTTAGAGTCAACACACTTTACTATATTATATCTCACAGTAAAAGCAAAGGAAGGGCCAGGAATTTAGCTCAGTGGTTCTGCTGCCTGCCTGGCAAGCACAAGGTCCCGAGTTTGATCCCTAGTACCAAATAAATAAATAAAATAAAATAAAATAAAATAAAATAAAATAAAATAAAAGCAGAGGAAGATTAAAAGGAAAATAGAACTCTCCAGTAAAATAGTATCACTAATCCCTTTATGCTGAAGTTTGCAATTCTTACTTTTTGAATGAAATTCATAAATATATAGATATAGATATATAGATGCAGACAGACAGATATCTCCTATAAAAATTCAAGGAAAAAGAATTTTTTTTGAGGGGGAGCGTTTTTTGAGACAAGGTCTCACTGTATAGTTGAGACTGACCTGGAACTCACTATGTTGCCCAGGCTGGTCTCGAACTCACAGCGATCCTCCTGCCTCCGCCTCCTGAGTGCTGGGATTAAAGGCGTGCACCACCACACTCAGCTTCAAGGGACAAGAATTTGAAGAGAAAAATTTGTATTACGTTCCACTATTTGGGGCTTTCCAAAAATGGAACACTGGGCATAAGTAGGTTAAAGACTAGTAATTGTCTGCACTTAAATTCCTCTCTTTTAACTAAGAGTCAGTCACAGTCATTCTGATACTTAACGCTTACCTTTTAATGTCTTCTAAATATAATATGAACTATTTAGGTTAAAAACAAATAAAAATGCTGGACGTGGCAGCACACACATATGATGCCAGCACTTGGAGGGCTGGGACAGGAGAATTGCCATGAGTTTGAGGCCAGCCTGAACTAGAGTGAGAGCCTGTCTCAAAAAAAAAAACCCCAAAAACAAAACAAAACAAAAAAAAAACAAGGCCAGCCCAGTCCAGTTAAACTTCTGACAAGAAACAAACTGACCTGATGCAACCAGGGTATCATGACAGCTTGCACCCCACTCATAGCAGCTACCCAATTGCCATATAAAGTAACAAACTGGTTTTGGTTTTCTCTCTCCCACTTTTGATGATATGTAATGTATTTAAGCTCTTAAATAAAAAAACTTGTTTTCAGGGAAAAAATTTTTAAAAAGAAAATCTGATCTGTTGTATATCACTACAAAATGCTAGACACGTGGACCGGGGATTTAGCTCAGTGGTGCCACCGCTTGCCTCACAAGTGCAAGGTCCTCAGCTCGATCCCAGTAGCAAACAAACAAACAATTTCAAATGCTAGACACAAATTCCAAATACCTGAGACGGATGGATAATAGTTCTCTGACAAGAAAACCATCACACATGGTACACAGTAAGCTATAAGCAAGAAAGCACCATGCTTTCTTTCATAATTTCCCACTTTCTTCCTTTGTATTTTCTCTCACATCATGGAACTGACTGACCTCCTGGTCTATAAATAGTGAAACGTAATACATAAAAAAAAAAGCTAGGGGGAACTAGAATCTGTCAATCCATGAAAGGCCAACTAACTGTACTGTCTCAAGACCAATACTATACCCAACTGTCTTAAAGGCTTTCCTATCTTTGAAAGAGAACCATAAATCAAGAAACACAAAAAAGATTAGATACATAGAAAACGAAGAGACACTCTGAACAAGGTAATTTATATTTTTAGTAATCATTTTTTAAAAAACAGGATGCTCAGGCCAGGGATTTAGCTCAGTGGTTCCACAGCCTGCCTTGAAAGTGCAAGGTCCAGAGTTTGATCCCTGGTACCAAAAAACAAACAAACAAACAAACAAAACAAGATGTTCAGGCAACCAACTATAATTAATCACATTAGCTGGCTTTATGCAGGTCCAGAGCAGACATCATATATTGAATTGCTATTTACTTAGACTGCTTTATCCCAGTTTTGTTTGTTTTGGTTTTTTTTTTTTTTTTTGGTATTGGAGAGCAAACTCAGGACCTTGTGTTTGTGAGACAGGTACAGTGTCACTGAGCTACATACCTGGCCCTTGAGATTCCTTTATAATTACTCATATTTTTTGTTTGCTTTTGTTGGTTTTTTTGGGGGGTGGTACTGGGGATTAAACTCTGCGCTTATAAGTCAGGCGGCAGAATCACTGAGCCCACACTTTTTTTTTTTAAAAGACAGGTCTCACTGTCCAGGCTGGCCTTGAACTCACTATGTAGCCCAAGATGGCTTTGAACTCACAGTGATACTACTGCCTTATGCTCTCAGAGTATGGGGATTACAGGCATGCACCACCATGCCCAGCTCGTACTTTTACTAGATCTCAAAAGCAAGAGTCAAGCTGTACTATATCCATTCTGACAAACCAATCATGATAAAAATGTCTTAATAGTGGATCAGTTAGATCTACATTAAAAGTTTATCATTAAAGGAATACTGAATGATGTGAATACAGGCAATATAGGAGAAAAGGTGTACATACGAATGGGAAAGAAGGAGGGACATACTAATGTACGGGACACACACACACACACACACACACACACAACCCAAAAATGACCCACAGACAGAGAAAGTACCTGGAAAGCTGTGAGTGCGCCAGTCCCTGGGTTATACAGGCATCGCAGCGAAGGCATGCTGTCCGCCAGGCTGGAACAGCCCAGCCACAGAGACCTGGGCATAGAGCACTGCAGAGAGAGGACAACTATGAGATGGGACAGTATGAGACGGGATGGCACAGATTACAGGAATTTTCAAGGCTTGACTGAATGCATATTCCAGTTGCAGGAGGCTTTTATGACAGAAACATTTAAGAAACATATGGCTTCACTGTGTCTAGCCCCAGAGAGAGACTCAAATATCAGACACTTCTTAAAATTTTGTTACTATTCTATTATGTATGAATCTGAAGGAAATCAATTTCTTAATCCAACTGATTACTTTCTTTTAAGGGTCTCAACTCATTACTCATAAATTAATCATAAGGTGAAATATTTCATGGAAGAATACTTTGTAGTAACATCACAATTTAGGACTAGTAAATTAAAACACAAAACAGGAAAGGTAAGAGTGTTTTTAGAAGACAATGTATCCTTGCAGCTTTTGATAGCAACTGACTCAGCACAGTTTGTATTTGCTTTATCTTGTTAATCTGTTATTTATTAACAAAAATGTTGCTGGGGATTTAGCTCAGTGGCACTGGTCCTGCCTCCCAAGCTCAAGGTCAAAAATCCAATCCCCAGTACAAAAAAAAAAGTATACAGTAGCTACCATGGCAGCTGACTTCATCTTTCCAGATGTATTAAGGCGGATACAGCAAGAGTGGTTTCAAATAAAAGGGAAAACAACAACAAAGCGAGGGAGTGGGGGAGGGGCACAGAGGGAAAGAGGACAGGAAGAAAGGGAGAGAACTGCTAGTACTAAACCCTTCTAAATGAAAAAAAGCAGCCTTGTGTATCTAGTGTTCAGTGGCCAAAGCAGGTAGAAATTACAATTTCTCATAACACTAAGTAGACAACACTAGTACTATGGCCCTTAAGAGTTTTATAAGACATTATACCTCGCAGAATAGTTCTTACATTCTTCATGCTTTTCTAAAAATATCCCAGGCAGGAGTTTTGCTTTTCTGCACTTTATCCCACCTTATTTTTTGTTTGTTTGTTTTGAGACAGGGTATCACAATGTAGTTCATACTGCCCTGGAACTCACTATGTAGCCCAGACTAGTCTCAAACGCACAGCAATCCTCCTGCCTCAGCCTCCTGAGTGCTGGGATTACAGTCATGTGTCACCATGCCCAGCCCTCCTCATTTTTATTAGCATATATTTGCAATACATAACGAATACAGTCATATGGAGGACTGGTTCATATACATGTCTTACTTTGATCCTCTTTACTTTCCCTACCTTTTCTGCCCGAGCCCCTTTCTCATCCTGTGTAGTCTAGCTCCTTATTTCCAATAATTCTGTTGTTGTTGTTGTTGTTTTGGTTTGGTTTTTTGAGACAAGAGTCTCACTATGTAGTTTGGGCTGCCCTTGAACTCACTGTGTATGTGTAACCCAGGCTGGCCTCAAACTTGCAGTGATCCTCCTTGCCTCAGTCTCCCAAGTGCTGAGATTACAGGCATGCACCACCACTCTTGGCTTCCTATAATCTTTCATTTTGCTCGATAAACTATTTCTACTTTGGATTTCTTATATAAGAGAAACAATGCAATCTTCGGTGTCTGATTTATTTTACCTTGCATTATGGTTTTCAGGGAGTCTTTTATTTTTAGCTTTTTTATATATTCTAGATATTAATCCTCTGTCTGAGGAGTAGCTGGCAAAATTTTGTTCCCATTCTGTAAGTTGTCTCCTGCACTGTGCAGAAGCTTCTTAACTTGACATAACCCCATTTATTGATTTGTGGTGTTATTTCTTGTGTAACTGAGGCTCTGTTCAGAAAGTTCTTGCCTCTGCCCATTTGTTCAAGAGTTTTATCTATTGCTTTTTTGTCTTGTTTTGTTTGTTTTTTTTTTTTAGTACAGAATGAGTGACAGAGGTTTAAACTCATTTTTCTGCAAAAGATAACGAGTTTTCCCAGCACCATTTGTTAAAAGGCTATCTTTATAGTAATTTTTCTGGCCCCTTTGTTGAAGATCAGGCAACTGAATCTGCTCCACCACAGTTCTATTAGCTGGCCTGCTATTACGAGTCTAACAGCAATTAAAACACTAAATATCTAATCCCAGCACTCAGGAGGCTGAGGCAGGAGGATCGCTGTGAGTTCAAGACCACCCTGGGCTTCATAGTGAGTTCCAGGTCAGTCTCAACTCTACATAGTGAGACCCTGTCTCAAAAAACAAAACAAAAACACTAAATATCTAAACATATTCAATAAACACAGTCCATCGTTACATATAACATTCAATCTTACATACAGATTTTGTAATATTTAATATAATCACGGCCCTTTCCCTTCTTTAGAAACACTTTGATAGAAATGAATACTGGGAAGCAAGATATACTGACACCACCTATAACTAATAGGAGGAAAATGGACTGCAAATGACTCCAAAAGATAATGTGAGATAGACTTTTGCTTTTAATCATTATCCTCACTTTATAGTTAAAGTAACTGATGCCCAGGAGAAATTAAGTATTTGTCAATGCTTATCAATTTAGAATAGTGAAGCAAGGACTGGAACCCAGTCCTATAGCAATAGTACCGAATTCTTCCTCTCCCCTTGTCTCTCTCTACTCACTCTGTCATAAAGAAAGACGTCAGACTTCAGAGGAACAGTGCTTGCTAATGGCACTGCGAGATAACAGACCAAGCAAAACCATGACACATCCTGAGCTGCTACAGCAATGAACTTTGCTTCACTGTTCCCAATGTTTCTTCACCTCAAGCTACAATCCATTTTACAGACAGTAGCTAAATCAGAAAAATAGTTGTCTCACTTTGTTTCCACGTTACTCTCATCAAAATTTATAATGGCCCCCTGTATCTACCACATGGAACCCAAGCACTACATTAATTTGACGTTTCTTCACTGCCTACATCAACTCACCTTCTCTGTCCTTCCCACTTGGCACTCCAGACAGTGAGCTATCCCTGGTATTTTTGTTCAAATGTTCACTTTAAACTTTTAATTTCATTCTCCCTTTGACTGTACCAATTCACACCTACCTTTCCCTCTGTTTCCTCAGACCTACTCATGCTGATTTCGGTCTCTTTCAGAGGTCCTTACTACCAGAGATTCCTATTCTGGAAGAAGCAACAGGGAAGTGGCAATAGGGGACAGAAGGACATAAGCTTCCTCTGCTGAATCTGACGGCACAGCCTGCAATCGCAGCTATTCTGGAAGATGTGCAGGAAGACAGCAAATTTGAGGCCATCTGGGAAATTTAGTGAGATCCTGACTCTAAATTAAAAAGGGCTTGGGATGTAGCTCAGTGGTAGAATACTTGGAAGCACACACAAGGCCCTGGGACTAATCCTCAATACTCCCTTTAAAAAGGAAGGGTAGCCAGGGATGTAGCTCTGTGGCACTATGCCTGCCTTGCATGTGTAAGGTCATGAGTTCAATCCCTGGTACCAGAAAAACAAACAAAACAAAGAAGAGTTAAAAAAAAAAAAATGCCTTCCTTTTACTGCTTTCTACTAGAAGCAACAAGAATGGTTTGCTAAAATAATTTAAGTACAGAGCTGGGGATTTAGCTCAGTGGCACCGTGCCTGCCTCAAAAGCACAAGGTCCTGAGTTCAATTCCAGATAACAATAAAAACAACAACAAAATAATAAAATAAAATAATTTAATGATAACAAAATTTTCTTAAGGATAATGTTCTGATCATTTATTTGATGAATAAATGCAGTAGGTACTATTCTAGGCACCAGAGATAGGATAAAATAATCTTCAAGGAAGTCATATTCTCATTACATTCTCTCAGTCTTAAATCTATTTTACAAATCTATGATGCAGCTGGGTGTGGTAGTGCATCCCTGTAATCCAGCTACTTGGGCTGAGATAGGAGGACCAAGAGTTTTGAAGCCAGTCTTGGCCACTTAGTGATACCCTGTCTCAAAAAATAATAAGGAATGGAAATTGTACCTCAGTGGCAGAACACTTACCTAGTATGTGACAGCCCAAGTTTAGTCCCCAGTACTAGGGAAAAAAATAATAATAAAGACAAAATAAATTCAGAATGTTAAAAAAATCGTTATGGCTAATTTTATGCTGTTACTAAAGAGAGACATGGTACTTTATTAAGCAGTAAATTAAAGTTTAGTATATGATGAATAGAAAAAAGTCTCATATTTATTCTGAAAGGACTGAATTTGAGAAAAACAGAAAAAGTGAGAGTGAACAAGAAAGGGAGCATGAATACAGAAAGAGGAACAGGAAACGAAAACAGTGCAGGAAAATGGAGCAGGCCCTGGAGGACAGCATGTCATTTTCCTCCATCCTGCAGAGGAGCCAGGTGGCTCACAATGGAGCTGCCCTGAAGCCACCCTTGCAATGTGCATGCAGGACAGACGGCATGAAAGCCAAACAGAAGCCCTTCATCCCCAGACCTGGGCTCGCTCTTTCTTTCATTTTTTTCTTTATTATAACGTACATACTTATCTGTATTTGTGAGTGCGCCTTCACTAAGTTTTTTGGGGGTTTCTTTGGTACCAGGGACTGAACTCAGGACCCTGCACTTTTGAGGCAGGCGGCAGCACCGCTGAGCTAAATCCCCAGCCCTCCTTGGTAAGTTTTTAAGGCATTCCTTTTATGAATGATTTGTGTCCTCCACTTTTTACTAAGAATCTGTGTCATTTTTGCCATGTGTACTTGATGAATTATTATCTGAGTATCCTTCCTATTATTCATTTTGATACTGTTTCTCATTCATCCATCCATCCCTGTCTTCCAGCAACTCTCTAACTCAGAATTTGAGCTTACTTCAACCCCTTAAACTAAAATTCCAAAATAAAATTAGGATCAATAATGAACTGCATATACCCAGGGAAGCCACATAACATACCAGTGTGATTTCCAAAATAGCATTAACTTCCAAACACCACACAGAGGATGCATTCCTGATTATTGCAAGACAACTGGTGCGGGTATGATTACTGCACTTGGCTATAGTGAGATCTACACATTACCATAAGGTTTTATATATGTGGCTTAATTTAAAAACTAATTTTCAAAT